TGAGACGGGGTCTTATGCAGCCCCAATGGACTCCTTATCCTTCTGCCTTTACTCACAGAGATCCACCTGCCCCTGCCTCCCGAGTGCTGGGATTAAAGGCGTTCGCCACCATGCCCAGCACATTAAAAATATTTTAAAAAAAGAAAGAAGTAAAACAAAAACAGAAAGTAACTTTAATACTTTGTATTTTTTTTTTTTTTTGAGACGGGGTCTTATGCAGCCCCAATGGACTCCTTATCCTTCTGCCTTTACCTGCCAAATGCTGGGATTACTGACTTGCACCAACATGCCTCAGTCAGCATTACATTTTGCCTGTCTTTATTTCTTCTTCTATAAATTCATTTTTTTAATTTTATGTGTATGAGTGTTTCGCCTGCATGTATGTCAGTGCACCACAGGCATGCAGTGCTTGTGAAGGCCAGAAAAGGGCATCGTATCCCCTGGAACTGGAGTTATAAATAGCAGTTTATTAGCTGCTGTATAGGTGCTGGGAATTGAACCCAAGTCCTCTGCAAGAGCAACGAGTGCTTTTAACCACTGAGCCATCTCTCCAGCCCCAATATCTATTTCTTCTTCAAACTCCTCTCCTTTTATTCTCCCCTCACTTTCTCAGCTACTCCCTTCGTGCTTCCTCCAAGGAAGATGCTGTTCTGCTTCTAGTGTTTCTCGGACAGTTTCACTGAGAGCTCTTCTTTCAGTAATAAGCATGGTTCTTCTGTGAGTAGTCTTAAAGTGCCAGCCACAAATCCAAGCTTTAAATAGCATGCCTGTGATAAAATGTGCCACATTTATCAGGTGACTTTAAACTCTCTGGTACACAGCAGCAAATGATAGAGAACACATTATCTGACTTTAGGAACCTGGTCTCTATATTAGATGGGTTTGTGTTTTCTGATACATTAATTAGTAAAAGGAATAGGGGGCATAGTTTAGTGGTAGAGCACATAGCATATACATATGCATGTGTGAGACCATGGGTTCTATCCCCAGCACTGCAAAATGCATGAATGCATGCATGAAGGAAGGAAGGAAGGAAGAAAAAGAAAAGGACCATTTAAGTTTATTCTCTCTCTCTCTCTCTCTCTCTCTCTCTCTCTCATTTGTGGGTGATTTTATTGTGACTATATTATACTTAAATTTGAACGAGTAACTAAATTGGAATACTTTTGTTTTATTATTTATCCTAGCCAAATGTAAATAATTCAGTTGCAGAAAAAATGAGTCCTAGACTTGTCCTGTTTCTATTAGTCCAATGTTGCTGTGTGCGTCTTGCGGGCGCCGCGCTGCTGGGCGGGTCTCTGGGTCTCCGCGGCTGCTTGGGAAGTGTAGGCGAGTCTGCAGGTCGGCAGGCCTGCAGACTGCCAGGCGGCTTCTGTGCCAAGCTGCCGGACGCTCCCTCTGTGCACGCGATCCATTGGCCACCGGATCACGAGGGGAGGTGCAGGAACAGCGAAAGCAAGATCTTCGCGAGTGGTTGTTGAGGGAAGGATAGCCCCCTCCGGGAAGACTGAATCACAGGCTGGTTCCAGGCACAGTGAGACACAGATACAGCTCCAGACAAGCTCAGTGATACAGCTCCGCTTTATTGGGGTGAAACCAGAAGATTTATAGTGTGGAGGCAGTAGCAAAAGCCTTAGTTGATAGGTGCTCCTAGGATGCCCCATTTACATGTGGTGGTGGGCTTCTATCAGACTGTCAGACAGTGCCTGATTATCACATAGGAAAAACCTGGCAGTTTCTATGCCAGAGGTCATGTATCTGTGGTGGCCACTTCAAAGTGAGTCAGGAAGAGAGTAGAAGGCGCCCTGCTGGAAAAGGGAGTCTCTGCATAAAAATGCCGAGCCCCTTGGGCTATCCGGACATGGAGAGACTGCGACCCAAATAGCAGGGGTCCCCAACAGCCCAATATGATTTTATTAGGAACTACTCTGGTCCTCAATTAGTTTATTTTTCCTAGGTTTAGAAATATTTTTCTGGGGCTGGAGAGATGGCTCAGCTATTAAGAACACTGGCTATTCCTGCAGAAGACTCAGGGTTGAATCCCAGCACCCACATGGCAGCCAACAACTGTTTGTAACTCCAGTTCCAGGGAATCCGACAGCCTCTTCTGTCCCCCACAGGCATTGCACAACACGGGTGCTCTTACCTATATGCAGGCAATGCACCCATACACGTAAAATAAAAATAATAAATAAAATAAAAAATATTTTAAAAAAGAAATGTTTTTCTTCTTAAAAATCTGTAGAGTGGGCCGGGCGTGGTGGCGCATGCCTTTAATCCTGCCACTTGGGAGGCAGAGGCGGGCAGATCTCTGTGAGTTCAAGGCCAGCCTGGTCTACATAATGAGTTCCAGGACAGCTGGGGCTACAGGGAGACCCTGTCTCAAAAAGACCAAAAAAAAAAAAAAAAAATTCTGCAGAGCTCTGTAGTCTTGACCATTTGTTCCCACGAGGGTGCCTTTAAGGACCAAGAGGCTTTTGGCTTTCCTCTTATTTCTTTTGTCTGTGTTCTCCATCTTTCTGTTTCTTGCTGCTGGTCTCAAGTATCACCATCATGTAACAAGCTGTTTCTGATTTGAGAATCAGTGCCATAGAATAATTTTCTAAGATAAGCAGTAGTGATAAATATAATTACTCAATAGAAAGATCTGACATAAAAACCATTTACGAGTCCTCCTGTTGTAGCACAGTGTAGAAATTGAATTAAGGTAGTCACATTCTGTGTGCTCACACAAGGCAAGTAAACGTAATCTCCACTTTCTGGAAAATGTACACCTGACTGTAAGAATCCATGAGAGGGTGATAAGATAGCCAAGCAGGTTCTTGCCACGCAGCTTTGCAACTTGAGTTTGATTCCCGGAACCCATGTAAAGGTGGAAGGACAGAATTGACTCCACAAAGTTGTCTCTGACCTCCATACTTATGTCATGGTACATACACACACACACACACACACACACACACACAATTTTAAAAAGAAGAAATTCATGAGAACCTTGATTTCTCAACTTCTGGGTCCCAATGGATTTCTTTCTCTCCCTCCCTCCTTCCTGCTTTCCTTCCTTTTTCTTTCTTTTCTCTTTTGCAGTGTGGTCCTTGGGATCTGATCCAGGGCCCTCATACATGTTAGGCAAGTACTTTATGACAAGCTACATGCTCAGCCCTTCACTCTTGTATTTTCTAAACCTTCTACCTCTGATGTTCTCTAGTAACACAGGTAACCTACCTACATTAACAAAATTAGGACCAAAACAGAAGTTTCCAAGATTTTACAGCCATGGCTTTTCCAATCCTCATCTTTTTAGTGTCCTTTTCTGTATCCTTTTTTTTTTTTTTTGTGAGTGAGTTATGTGACTTTCAGTAAATACTATTACTAATACAATTTTTTTTCTTGAAATATTTTCAAATATTTATGTATGGGACATATACCGGCTTCTTGGGTTTTACAGTGAATTGAAAGAGAAAGAAAAATTCCTACTCAGGATTATAAATTTGACCATCCTCCTTGTTGGAACTTGGTTTCTTGGCTTATTGTTTAAAACGCTCTATCTTTGGATTTTGGCTTCATTGACCAGTCGTAACCTTTGTTTCTTTTTTAAATTTTTTATGTGTATGAGTGTTTGGCCTGCAAGTATGTAAGTATACCTGTACATGCACTTCCCATGGAGGTCAGAAGAGGGTGTTGGATCTCCTGGACCTGGAGTTATAGTTGTTAGTCATCATATGGGTACTGGGAACCGAACCTGTGTCCTTTGGAAGAGCAACAAGTGCTTTTAATGGCTGAGCCATCTCTCCAGCCCCAACCTTTATTTCCTATGTTGAGTTACCTTCCTTATATGCTGGGGTACCCTAGACATTTGTCCTCAGACCTCTTTGCTAACTAAGGTCTCTAAGTGATATCAACTGTCCTGTGACTTTAAATATTTATTGGTATTTATATGCTAATGATGCTCAAACCTGTCCTGCAGAATATCCCAGTTCCTGAACTGGCTGCTTCCCATTCCACTGCATTTATCCAGTAGCTCAGGACAGAAATCTAAGTTGCTTTTGTTTCTTGCTATCACAGCTTTCATCTACTTTGTCAATAGGGTCTTTCAACTCTACCTTCAAATCATGTCCAAATTCTATTACTTCCTGATTCTTAGTCCCTTCATCCCTGTTTATGGCATCTGCTCTACTTGAGAGCCAGGGTAATCTTCTTAAAGCCTCAAATAGACGTGCAAAATATTTCAACAAAGAAGTGCTGATTTCAGTTCTTGAGCAAGAACTGTAGAGATGGATCCCAGAAGATAGGATACTAGCAGATAGCAGAGCAAGAGAAATGACAACGGGAGAATGAGACCGTGATCATAAAATGGAAAATGGTGTGCATGGACAGGTGTAGTTAGAGGGTCATTATTTAAATAACTCAAATTACTGAGCTATTTAAAAACAGGAACTCAAAGTACATATAAGCCAAACTTCTTTAAGGTATAAATTTCTTTGTGACTATTTGTGTTTCTAAACATGTACATAACACTCAAAGAGACGTTTTTAGAATTTCTCAACCCCCCCCCCAAAGTACAAGGAATTTCTTTATGTCTCTTTCTTGGACATTCCAGCAATAACACTGGTCTCTTATTTAGATTGAACCATATAAAATGTCCTTTTTAAAAATAAACCCACCCACACACTACAAATTTCCTTTACCAAACCACCTGAGAGTAAATTATAGATATAGTGCTGCATTATATATTCCATAAATAAAATATTTTATACATCTACATACCAGTACCACAGTCAACATTAATCAATATTAATTTATTTTCATCTTCCACATAGTCTTTATTCATGTTACCTTCTTTGAAACATCAATTTTGATTACTGTAATTTAAACAGTAATTAATTTTAAAATTAATTTAATTACTATAAACTCTTGATACGTCTATGGTGCTTTCTCTTCTAGAAAAAAGTGACTATATTTACAGTTGGCTTACTCTAGTTTTTATCTTTGTGGTTTAGCTTCTTACATCCGTGTTTGACAATAGCATCAAGACCTTTGGGGTAATTGAGAGTGATCCTTTTGACTGGGAGAAGACTGGAACTGATGGCTCCCTAACTACCACCACCACCTCTACCACCCCTCAGTTGCACACCCGCTTGACCCCTGCTGCAATCGGGTATGTCTTGCACAGTTCATTCAGTGGTACCTTTTCTGGATGAATTGGACTGGCAGGAAGTTACTTTAGTTTGTCTTGGTTCTCAAATGTCAACTGCTAAGACATGAGGGAAAGCTTATGTATTTCCTTGCTTATGCATTTTGGAATTACTTAGAAAATACTAATGGTTCATTCTGTGAAATGGGAGCTTAGAGTTTAGATAACTTGATATTAGATGTACAATGGGTTTTCTTCAGAATGAGAGGGAGCTGTTAGTTATAGTTCTAGAAACTATATGGGACCCTGGAAAGAATGAGTCATAATTATATCCTACTGTGCTTACATATAGTGGGAGTAAAATGTGTAGGCATATTCTTTTTATGAAAGTAATTTGGTTTATATAGAATACTATATTCTTTTTCTTTTTCTTATTTATTTTCTTGGGAGGGTTGTTATTTGTTTGAGATGGAAGTCTTGATATATATATATCAAGCTGATGTTGAACTTGCAGTCCTCCTGCCCTCAGTCTCCTGAGTCCTGAGATTGCTGATGTGCCCAACCATGCTCAGATATTTCCATGTTTTTACCTTTTGTTCTTATTTTTTGTTGTTTTTGAGACAGAGTCTCCCTGTAGCCTTGTGTAGGCTAGAACTCATTATGTAGACTAGGCTGGTCTCCATCTCACAGAGATCTACCTGTTTCTGCCCCCCAAATGCTGAGATGAAAGGTGTATGTGCCATCACACCCGGCACCTTTTATTTTTAATGTTTTCCTCCTCTACTTGTATTAAATACATTTCCTTTGAGTTGTTGTCTGGAGAATGTAGGGTACGTTCATGAAGTAACATGATATCTACATCATAGCTGAGAGGGTAACTAGGACTGAGTGAAAATAGTAGTCACGGTGTGGCTGCAGATGTGGTTGATTTCTCAAGGAGTGGAAGAAGGAACTGTGGAGGAATTAGAATAGTTGTGGGGAAGGAGACTAATGGTAGGCATAAGGGAAAAGGCATTGAGAAGAACACTGAGTGATGAAAATATGAAGATGGTCGGGTTAGCAGACCGAACTTCCAGGTGCACTTTTTACATCAGTAAGTTATACTGACTTGTATCTGAAAAAACTTTCAGTGCTCAGTTTATTTCTGATCTTTAATGATTTGTTTGGACTATTTCAAGCTAAGCTATTTGTAGAATCTAAACTATAGGGATTACTTTGCTAGACTACGGTTTTTCCCGTCAGAGCCATGGTCAGTGATTTTTCTAGATTGTTTACCTATAATCTATTGATAAAGAGATCATCTAGCGTTGACCAATGTAGGCCGAAGTAGAAGTAAAGGACATCAAATAAGGAGGAACATGTCCTTGGATAATATTGGACTTCTTAGAAGAAAATAAAATGTCCTTAGGTCACCTGTGCTAGGGCACACATGTTATCTTCAGAGTGATTCCCTGAGAGGGTGTCTATTTTGCTTTCACAATGATCATGTGTGTCAATACAGTCCATTGAAGATTGTTTTTCTATGTTTAGGTATTCCAGATTACGTCTTAAAAGTTTCTTTGTGTAGTTGGGCGTGGTGGTGCACGCCTTTAATCCCAGCACTTGGGAGGCAGAGGCAGGTGGATCTCTGTTAGTTCAAGGCCAGCCTGATCTACATAGTGAATTCCAGGCTAGCTGGGGCTACAGGGAGACCCTGTCTCAAAAAGACCAAAAAAAAAAAAAAAAAAGTTTCTTTGTGTGTGAATACTGTGTTCAGCTAGAAATATTTTTTAAAAATACTAATATTTGCGGGCGCGGTGGTGCACGCCTTTAATCCCAGCACTCAGGAGGCAGAAACAGGGGGATCTCTGTGAGTTCAAGGCCAGCCTGGTCTGCATAGTGAGTTCCAGGCCAGTTGGGGCTACATGGAGACCCTGTCTCAAAAAGACCAAAAAAAAAAACAAAACAAAAAAACCCCTAATATTTATAGATCATTAGAGCTGTTAGAGGTCTTTTTCAGTTAGTAACTGATGACTAAGAACTAAAGAGACTTTCATGAACCAGGAGTTTGTATGAGATGACAACTCTGTAAACAAGACCAGAATTACATCAAAAGAAATGTAGAGCCAAGCATGATGGCATACTCGAATAATCCTAGGATTTGGGAAGCTGAGACAGAAAGATCTTGTATTCAGTGTCAGTATGGGCTAAAAGACCCTGTCTCAAAAGAAAGGAAATGTATACACAACTATGTGTTAATATTTTCTGTTTTTCCCATGTAGAAATATATGAACCATATAATTTCAGAATTTCTAATTTCTCCTATAAGATAAAGATTTCCTTCCTCATTGTTTTGCTGGAGACTTATATATAGTAGGAGCTTAGTAAAAAAAAAATCTGTAAGTGACAAAGCAATGCACATTTCATAGTAAAAAATTACGCTGCTCTTAGCTGGGCATGGTGGCGCATGCCTTTAGTCTCAGTTCTCAGGAGGCAGAGGCAGGCAGATCTCTGTGAGTTCAAGGCCAGCCTGGTCTACATAGTGAGTTCTAAGGCAGCTGGTGCTACAGGGAGAGGCTGTCTCAAAAAACAAACAAACAAAAAAAAAAAAAAAAAAAAAAAAAAAAAAAAAAAAAAAAAAAAAGAAAACTGCTCTTAACCCTTATTTATTTCTTTATGGCACTTAGTACTTCCTTGTGAATAATTGTTTTTATTATTTACATAAAAGGTAAAGAATAGAAAATTTCATCATATTGATGAAGACCTCATGGAAAATAGAACAGATGTTTCTGACTTTAAGTGATTATTAAATCACTGAGTTTTTGTATTGTAAAATCAGGCTATAAACTCTTAATTCCTCACAATTTAGAAAAGTTTTATTTTGTAGAATTAGCATAAAACTTAAGTGTTGTAAGAGTTGTTTTTTTTTTTAACACTCTTAATAATGTATAGACTTTTATCACTTAATTCCAGAAACAAAATATAGGTTAGACTCATGGTAATTTTCAATTTTAGTCTTTTTAAGTTCTATCTTTTTTTTTCCTCCTTCCCAAATTAGAATTGCAAATGCCACTCCCATCCCAGGAGACTTGCTTCGAGAAAACACAGATGAAGTGTTTCCAGATGAACAGCTCAGTGATGGGGAGAATGGTCTCCCCATTGGTGTGTCACCAGATAAATTGCCTGGATCTTTGGGACACACTCGACCTCAGGAAAAGGATGTCTGGGAAGAGATGGATATCAACAAGAACAAGATAAAGCTTGGAATTTGTAAAGTGTGTATTTCTTGTACAGGAAGTGATATCTTTCTATGTACTTATTATTTTTCTTGGTTGCACGAAGTATTGTGATTCTCAATCTTTTAAAAGAATTTTATAAATTGCCTGGATCTTTGGGACACACTCGACCTCAGGAAAAGGATGTCTGGGAAGAGATGGATATCAACAAGAACAAGATAAAGCTTGGAATTTGTAAAGTGTGTATTTCTTGTACAGGAAGTGATATCTTTCTATGTACTTATTATTTTTCTTGGTTGCACGAAGTATTGTGATTCTCAATCTTTTAAAAGAATTTTACTTCATTTATTTATTTATTTATTTATTTATTTTTATTTATTTTATTTGGTCTTTTTAAGACAGGATCTGAGAGAGAGAGAGAGAGAGAACACGTGTAGAGGTCAGAGGATAATTTGTAGGTCCTGGGAGTTAAACTCAGGTTGTCAGACTTGGTGAGAAGAACCTTTACTCACTTAAGCATTTCACAGACCCATGATTCTCAAGTTTGAGTGAAAAGTAGAACACTGTATTGCTAATTACTTTAAATATTTGTAATTACAATATTTTAGCTAATGTGGCCCATAATAATCATGTTTAGACACCAAACAGTCATTGTATTTATGGAAAAGATAGAGATATTTAAAAAATAAATAACCAGGAGTGGGAGTGTAGTTCTGTGGTAGAGCACTGGCCAAGTTTGCATGAGCTCTGGATTCTATCTTAATAACATTAAAAAAAAAGAGAGAGAGAAGGAAAGAAAAGAACTGAAAAAACCCAAATGAAAAAAATTATTGATACCAAATGAAGACATATCTGTAGAACAAAAGTTGTGCGTGCCTTTAATCCCAGCACTTGGGAGGCAGAGACAGGTGGATCTCTGTGAGTTCAAGGCCTGCTCGGGCTACAGGGAGACCCTGTCTCAAAAAACCCACAACAACAACAACGAAAAACCCAAAACCAACAAACAAAGTTAATGAATTTTCCAAATAATGTGCCAAAATTCTGGACCTTTTCTACTCTGGACAGTGAGCTATGTGAACATTGTCCCTAGTGAGGTTGGAAAGAGAAGAGGGTTGAAAGTAGAAATGATCACACTCATGAGCCTATGGATGAGTGTGAAATAAAAGATAAGACTGTTCTTAGTAGAATTATCAGCAGGTACACGTGTCCGTATGGGGAAAGATACAGATTTCTGAACGATATGGTGAATTTTTAATCATCTTGGGGAGACTATCTCTAAACTTTTCTTTGAATTTACTGTTCATTTGTTCTTTCCTCTTTCATGGAAAATGAAGAAAATAGGATAAAAGGATAATTGATTACAAAATTAGTAGTTATTATTGCTGTCATAGTGTGCTATTGAAATGTTTTTATAAGTTTTGGTTGGGAAGGAGGTTAAGGCTTAAGGGTTTATCCTTACAGATGTAGTTAGTAGAAAATTGGTTAGTCATATTTTATATATCCTTGCAAGAATCATCTGTGATCAATTCTGAGCAGTTTGTCCTATCTTTGTGCAACTGTTAAATTATATAATTTTAAAAAACACGCCGGGCATGGTGGTGCACTCCTTTAATCCCAGCACTCAGGAGGCAGAGGCAGATGGCTCTCTGTGAGTTCAAGGCCAGCCTGGTCTACGTAGTGAGCATAGTGAGTTCCAGGACAGCTGGGGCTACAGGGAGTCCCTGTCTTGAAAAGACCCCCCCCCAAAAAAATGCAAAGGGGGTGAATGCTGGGATAAATGAAAACAAGGTATAATGATATATGTGTATGAAAAGAACACAAATCCAGTTCTTTTGTAGTTAACCAAAAAATTAACCTTAAAAATTCTTAAGGATATTATCTTAGTATGTTTGGCTGCTATAATAAAAATACCATAAAATAGGTACCTTGTAAGCAACACTGCACTTCTTGGAAGTCCAAGATCAAGGCAGGTTTGGGGTCTGGTGAAGACCCTTTTCTGACTCCTTCATATGGTGTCCTTACATAATGCAAATGTTAAAGAGTCTCTTTTGGGCCCTTTGTAAAGACACTGATTTTATTTTATTATTTTTATGTGTATGAGTGTATTGCCTGCATGTGTGTAAGTGCACCTGTGTTATGCAGTGCCCACAGAGGTCAGAAGATAGTGTCAAATTCCCCTGGAACTGGAGTTACACTTGTTGGCTGCCATGTGGGTACTGGGAATCAAACCCAGGTCCTCTGCCAGAGTGGCTCTTAACCGATGAGCCATCTCTCCAACCCAAAGGCACTGATTTTATGAGGACTATGCTTTCATGACCCAATCATCTCTATATGTCCTACCTTCTGCTACATCACTTAGGAATTAGGATTTCAGTGTGTGAGTGACATAAAATACAGAAGTACAGGTTAGAGGTATATACTTTCAGTCATTTGCAAAAGCATTCTCTGTGTACTTGGGTTATGCAGTAATATGGTCTGGCTCTTGAATGAGCAGTATGTACAGTAATGGTAATCAAAGATGAATAGTAAAAAATAGAAGTAGACTGGGATTCAATGTTTTTTTTTTTTTTTTTGTGTGTGTGTGTGTGTGTGTGTGTGTGTGTGTTGCTAGTGATTGAACCCAGTGTTTAATGCACAAAGCACACTACTACTGAGCTATACCTCAAGCCTTTGGTATCTTTATTGCACCAGAAATAAACTGTTTTTTTGATACAAGGTTTAGCTCTGTAGCCCAAATGGCCTGGAACTCACTGTGTAAATCCTTGAACTTGTAGTGACCCTCTTAACTCTGCCTCCCAAGTGCTGCAGTTGCAGGTATGTGCCACCACACCTGCCTACAAACTGTTGTTATGGGCGGAAAATCGCTACTGAATTCTCAATTTCCATGTGTATATATCTTTGTATGTGAGGGAATGAAGTGGTATTCTATATAAAAGAGCATAATTATTGTTCTATCTTCCACCTACTAGGACTGTTTAATGTCAGTAAAATTTAAATGTCCCTGGGTCCTGGTCCATTATTTATGCTGGTCCACGTTATACTAATGTGCAGTTTCTTGAAATAGTAATGTATGCTGCTGTACGTTATACTCTCTACTCACTCTCAACATCTAGATAAAACATTAAGCTCTTTACTGAAGCACAGCCAAATCACGACTTTCATAAATTCAACAAAGTTTAAGTTAGCACTTTCTGTATGCACTTCATTAAGGTAGGTGCTATGCAGTTTAAGGTGCTTCTTTTATCTTTAAGGAGTTTGTATTCTGTCTGGGTAGATAAAGACCCAACCAAATATAAGGTAGAAAGAACATTGTAAGAATAAGAAAATTAAAAGGAATTAAAGTGCATGTAGATAGAAGTTGGGAGGCTGGAGAGATGGCTCAGTGGTTAAGAGCACTTGTCTTTACAGAGTACCAGGGTTTGGTTTCCAGCACCCACACTGGGCAGCTCACAACCATTTGCAACTCCAGTTCCAGGGGCTCGAATGCCCTCTTCTGACCTCCACAGGCACCTGCACAAACATGGCACACATGTAGATGAGCAGACACAAACACATAATAAAAATAGATGAAAATCTTTTTTTTTTTTTTCGGTCTTTGAGACAGGGTTTCCCCGTAGCCCCAGCTGACCTGGAACTCACTATGTAGACCAGGCTGGCCTCGAACTCACAGAGATCCACCTGCCTCTGCCTCTGCCTCCCAAGTGCTGGTATTAAAGGCGTGCGCCACCATGCCCAGCCTATAAAAATCTTTTTTAAAAAGTGGGAGTTGGGGGCTGGAGAGATGGCTCAGTGGTTAAGAGCACTGACTGCTCTTGTAGAGGACCCGGATTTGATTCCCAGCACCCACATGGTGGCTATGAACCGTCCTTAACTCCAGTTCCAGGGGACTTCTGACCTCTGCAGCATTGCACGACACAGGTGCACTCACATACATGCAAGCAATACACTCATACACAAAATAAAAATTAAAAAAAGAAAAAGAAGAAACTAGAGGGAAAACAAATGAACCCAAGACAAGCAGAGGAAGGAAATAAGTGTTTTTAAAAATTTATTTTTATTTCTATGAAGTCAGATGAGGATGTTGGATCCCCTGGAACTGGAGTTATGAATGGTGGTTAGCTGCCATGTGGATGCTGGGAATCAAACTCAGGTCCTCTGCAAGAACAGCATTGCTCTTAACCACTGAGCCATCTCTCCAGCCTCCCATATTTTTTTTCACTCATATGTTTTTCACTTAAGTACATACAAGTACAAAATTCTTAGATCTTCCAAGTGAATAAAAGTTTTGTTTTGGGTCTCACAATGTAGACTTGGCTGGCTTTGAACTCAAGATCTTGCCTCAACCTTCCAAGTGCTGGGGTTTATAGGTGTAAATCCCAGCCATCACTCTTGCAATGCTGCGGAGGTCCCCTGGAACTGGAGTTATGGACAGTTTGTAGCTGCCATGTGGGTGCTGGGAATCCAACCCAGGTCCTCTGCAAGAGCAGTCAGTGCTCTTAACTGCTGAGCCATCTCTCCAGCCCCCCTTAGAAGTTTTAAATGTTTTGTTTTGTTTAAACTATTTCTCCCAACTCTTAACAGTGTTGGTTATGGTGACATGCCTTCTCCTGTCTTGAAGTTTTTGTACATTTAATAATTGGTGGAAATCCTGCAAACCTAAATTGGGAGCTGGGAACCTACCTTCAGATTAGATTACCTTCTGTGGATAACCAGAGTGTACTCCTAATTTGATACCAATTAGTCATCTTCTTGATGGTCTCTAAGCAGAATAGATGTCCCAGACTTCTGATCACTGCACTCTAACAAGGCTTGATTTCCTTGGTAACTGTACTGCTGTGGCCCTCTGTCCTTTGTACAACTCATGCTCACCTCCTGCTTTGCCTCAGCAGCATCTTGGTCTAGCCACAGATTTCGGTTGTTTTGTTGCTGTTTGCTTTTGAGAGAGGGAATGAGAAGGGGGGGCAGTATGGGGATTAATGTTTTCAGTCTCTCTTAACTCCTGTAAGGCCTGTATGTCTCAAAGAGAACATCCTTTCCAGCTCTAGTTTTAGTATAGTAGAGTGGGGTTCTACAAGTATCAAGTCAGATGTAATGCAAGAAGCCAAAGTCTTTAAACGTTTTTAAAAAGAATAGTCTTGTACCAAAAATATAAAAAAGCTAAATAAATACTGAAACTGAGTATAAAGAAAACTCATTAAGGGGTTAATAAACAGGAATGTAATGAAATTATTATAGTCAAAATATTTTTTAATTTTTTTAGTATTTCATTTATTATTTTTTATTTTTATTTTATGTGTATGAGCATATTGCCTGCATGTGTGTGAGTGCACCTGTATTGTGCAATGCCGCAGAGGTCAGACAAGGGCTTCCGAGCCCCCTGGAACTGGAGTTAAGGATGGTTCGTAGCCGCCATGTGGGTGCTGGGAATCAAACCCAGGTCCTCAAGAGCAGTCAGTGCTCTTAACCGCTGAGCCATCTCTCCAGCCCCAAAATATTTTTATTTTTAATTATGTGTATGTCTGTGTATGGTTCTGTGCATAAGAGTGCAGTGCTTGTGGAGGCCAGTGGCTTTGGATCCCCCTAGAGCTGGAGTCTTAGGTGGTTGTGAGTCACCCATTGTGAGTGTTGGGAATCAAACTTGGGTCCTCTGCAAGAGCAGTATGTGCTCTTAACTACTGAGTCATCTCTCTAGCTCCATGTATGATACCTGGTATATTATTCATGGTTCTATTGAGGTTTTTTGTTTGTTTGTTTTTCTAGGCTGCTACTGAAGAAGAAAATAGCCATGGTCAAGTAAATGGTATTCTCAATGCTCCAAGCCTTGGTTCTCCAATTCGTGTCCGATCAGAGATTACTCAGCCAGACCGAGACGTTCCATTAGTACGAAAATTACGTTCCATCCACAGCTTTGAGCTGGAAAAACGGCTGACACTAGAGCCAAAGCCAGATACTGACAAGTTTCTTGAAACCTGGTATGAAATGTGATATCTCTGTCTCTCTGTCTCTCTCTGTCTCTCTCTCTCTCTCTGTCTCTGTCTCTCTCTCTCTCAAGCTTCCAAGGTACCATTACTATATTTTATATCCATTTTGTAAAAACTGTTTCAAATAAATTCTTTTTTTTTTTTTTTTTTTTGGTCTTTTTGAGACAGGGTCTCCCTGTAGACCCAACTGACCTGGAACTCACTATGTAGACCAGGCTGGCCTTGAACTCACAGAAAGCTGCCTGTCTGCCTGTCTATGCTGGGACTAAAGGTATGTGCCACCACACCTGGCTTTTCAAATAAGAAATTCTTGGCTGGAGAGCTGGCGCAGCCCTTAAAGGCTCAGGCTCGCAATCAAATAAGAAGTTCTTGCATGCTGGGCGTGGTGGTGCATGCCTTTAATCCCAGCACTTTAATCCCAGCAGAGGCAGGCTGATCTCTCTGAGTCTGCTTAGTGAGCTCCAGGTTAGCTAGGGCTTCAGGGAGATGCTGTCTCAAAAAAAAAAAAAAACCACACACACAAAAAAGAAAGAAATTCCTGCATTTTGGTAACACTGAGTCCACTAAGCTTTTATTTCTTCATCCATGTCTTAGTTGTATGTCATCCCATTCTTAATGTGAATTTTCCACTATCATTACAAATTCCATAGCAAAGTAATTTCCTAACACTAGATAGAGTTAAATGAACAAACCTACAGTGACCTTGTTTAGAAGGTATTCTCGCCAGGCGTGGTGGCACACACCTTTAATCCCAGCATTCAGGAGGCAGAGACAGGTGGATCTTTGTGAGTTCAAGGCTAGCCTGGTTTACATAGTGAGTTCCAGGACAGCTGGGGCTACAGAGAGACCCTGTTTCAAAAAGACCAAAAAAAAAAAAAAAAAAGAAGGTATTCTCTTCCAAACAAGAGTATAGAGTTGGAAAAGGCCTGATAAAGAAAGAACTAGGCAGAAATGAGGGGATACATGGAGAGAAGATGCAGTAGGAAAATACATATTAGTAAGTTTGTTATCTTGGCCTGAAGCACTCACAGTCAACCCAGAAAGAGAAAAACTGGACTTCAGAGATCTATCTATAAATACTGTAATGACTGTAGCTTTTGGCTAATGTGGTACATTCTCTCTATAACAAATTTTGAGAACAGAAGACAAATGAAATTTTAAAAAAATTTGAGATATATAAATGAATTATAAAAGGCTTTAAGAGGATTCAAACATAGCCATATATAGTTGTGCACCCTGTAATCCCAGTTACTTCAAAGGTTCATACCTTTTAATCATGCATCTCTGGTGGTTACTCTTGGCAGTGAAATGTTAGGTTAGAAAGACTATGGATTTGAGATGGGGATATAGCTCAGTTGGTAGAGTGCTTGCCTAGCATCCATGAGGCCATAGGTTTGATCCCCAGCACCACATAATACCTGATGTGGCAGTACATGCCTAGAATCTCAGCACTAGGAAGGTGGAGCAGGAGGATAAAGAAATTCAAGGTCATCTGTCACTACATAGCAAGAGATATGATCAAAAGAACGGACTAGAGTTGAGCAGTACTTCACATATTTTGAATTATAGTTGAGATGAGGAATAAATGTAAGAGAGCAATAGGGATTAACAAATTTACTTTGGCAAGTAATTTGACTAACAAAAGAAAGGAACTAAAAGTGAACCACATTGAAGAAAGAGCTGAGCTCCATCTTCCAAAGCAGGATCATGGCAGGTGGAGAAGGACATTATCAACCATCTGAATTTTTCCTTATGATTTATCCATTTGTTTTCATCTCATTTTGTAAGAACACTTGTTCCATATAGAGTTTATCAGTATGTAATAAATGTTTCCCTAAGGACAATTGAGTAATTTCTCTCCTTTTTCTTAAGCATGGAGAAAATGCAGAAAGATTCCAGTGCAGGAAAGGAGTCTGTTCTCCCTGCCCTGCCTCATAAGCCTTGTGTTCCTGCTGGGTCCCGTGCTGACCACGTCTGGCACTATGATGAAGAATATCTTCCTGATGCCTCCAAGCCTGCCTCTGCCAAAACCCCTGAGCAGGCAGATGGTGGCGGCAGCAATGGATTTATAGCTGTCAACTTAAACTCTTGCAAGCAGGAGGTTGATTCCAAAGAATGGGTGATTGTGGACAAGGAGCAAGACCTTCAGGATTTTAGGACAAATGAAGTGTTAGGCCAAGGCCATAAAACAACTGGAAGCCCTTCTGATGAGGAGCCTGAAGTGCTTCAAGTCCTGGAGGAATCACCTCAAGATGAAAAGCTCGAAGTAGGTCCTTGGGTGGATGATCACTTAAAGAAGGAAACCTCAGGTGTGGTCTTAGCTCTCTCTGCAGAGTGCCCTGCCACGGCTGCTTCAGAGCAGTACACCGATAGGCTAGACCTCCAGGCTGGAGCTGCTAGTCAGTTTATCACAGTGACACCCACAAGTCCAATGGAGGCACAAGCAGAAGGACCCCTCACTGCGGTAAGAGATTGCTTCTGTCATTATTTTGTGTTATAACTGCTTGAGGTGTTATTATTAAAAGACTGGAGCTGGGGAGATGACTCAGTAAATTGCTTGCTGAGCATACATGAGGACCTGAGTTTGGACCCCAATACTCATGTAAAAGCCAGGCATGACAGCACACACCTTTGACTCCAACACTAGGGTAGGGATGAGGGGAAGAGATAAACAGATCCCTGAAGCTCACTGGCCAACCAGTTTAGCCAAATTGCTGAGGTCCAGGTTCAGTGAGAGACCCTGTCTCAAAAATATGGAGAGCAACTGGGGAAGATATCTGATACTGACCTCTGGCCTCCACACACATAGCCATGTACCCACACGCACATCTGCATACACCTACACATACACCTCAGAATAGGAAGGAAGGAGGGAGGGAGGGAAAGAAAGAGAGGGGAGAGAGAGAAGCCTAGCTGAGCATGGTGGTTCACACCTCTAATCCCAGCACTTGGAAAGCTAAGGCAGGAGGTCCACTGTGGGTTCAAGGCTAGAGAATGAGGTTCTATGTCTAAATAAATAACTAGTAAAAGAAAAAGAAAGAAAAAAGGACAGTTAATCGATCAGCTTAAATTGTGCAGTTAGAGGTTTAAATTTGACAAAAGGGTACATAGCATTAGGCAGTTCTATAGTCAGCCCTGAAATAAGAATAAACCCCAAACATTTAAATGAGTTTTCCTTTCATTATATCAAACTCAGTACATGAACTATCACAATCTAATTTTGCAATAACATTTATAATTAGAATATAGGAACTACATATTTATGTGTATATGTACATAAATTATTTTAAAGTAAATATTCATCATTTTGAAGAATTTTATTACACATTTGCTGAGAAAGGCCTGTATTTAACCATTTGTGGGACTTTATATACTTTTACTAGGCCTAAGCCTTCTTTTGAAATCTCTACCCAGAAATGTCTCATACTTTACATTTCTCTTAAAAGTGTTTTGGCTTTGATGCCCACTGTTTAAAATGCAGAATCTCAAGCCTGGCTTCCAGAACTTCTGCTTGCCTAAGTCTGGGGTAGAGTAAGCTCTTCATTTTGACAAGTAGTTGAAGGCAGTTTGATACAAGTCTTCTGAAAAGAAACATTTTGGAGGAACACTACTGCAAACTCTCAGTCCTGGGCATTCAGCTGGAGACTGCTCCCCTGTTAGAGGTAAACTGGCTGTGTGAGCAGGAGGAATCCCAGAAAGCCACGGCCCCAGGCAGTAAGGAAGAGTACCAAGTTCAGGTACCTGTGCCCTGACATGGGTAGGAGTAACCAAGTTTCTTTGTTTTGCTGTCACTAGGTAGCCTTCCTTTCTAAATCACCATCCACAGCATTGTTTCCCCAAATTGAAATGGTTTCTGGTAAACAAATTTTCATAAATATAAACTTGGAAAGATATCAGCGAAATTCCCTTTTATGTACACTTCTGTAATTTGCCTATGCTCCAAAAAATAAATGCTACTTCACTTGTTTTCTAATCAGAGTTTAGTTAGTTGATCTTGCTCTGTTCTTCAGGGCTGCTTTGTATCAGTATCAGGTTGTTCATGGCATAGAGAGGACTACCTCAAGAGAACAAGTTCCCAGCATCCACATGGTGGCTGACAACCATCTGTAACTCCAGTTCCAAGGAATCCAATAGCCTTTTCTGACCTCTGAGGGCATTGGTGCACTTAAATATATGCAGGCAAGACAATCATACACATAAAATAAAAATAATTAAAAAAAATTTAAATAGCAAGCATACATGCATTAAAAAAAATTGTTTTTATGTGTATGAGTGTATTGCCTGCAAGTATACTCATGTGCAGTGCCTGCAGAAATCAGAAGAGGGCATCTAATGCCCTGGAACTGGAATTACTGATGGTTGTTAGCCACCATGTGGGTGATGGGAATCGAATCCAGGTCCTCTGCAAGAGCAGCCAGTGCTGCTGAACCATCTCTCCAGCCCCCATACGTGCATTTAAAGTAAGCAATAAGTCAGGCATGGTGGCGCATACCTTTAATACCTGCACTCCAGCACTCAGGAGGCAGAGGCAGGCAGATTTCTGTGAGTTCAAGGCCAGCCTGGTCTACATAGTGAGTTCCAGGC